GGGAGATGCTGCCCAAATTTACATAAACGAGCTACTAGTAGTCCCAACCAATGGCCAAAACTAGTAGTTTTAAGGTCCAAATCTGCCCCAAAGGGATTTGGCCGCCCACCCTACCTAATTTTAATGACTTTTCTTATTCCTTAACAACCACCCTACCTAATTTTAAGGACTTTTACTCCTATAAATAAGGAGTTCTTCTCATTCATTGAGGACTTCATTATTGATTAAGAATATCATACCTTGAGAGTTCATTTGAACAACTAGAATTAAAGTGCAGAAAATAAAAGATATTGGAAAATTCAAGGAAAGATTCCAAGACCTTCCAAGAACGCAAGTTCTATAGCCTTGAAAAGGTCAAAGCAACAACGTTTTGATTTATTGAAGAAAGTGAAGGCGTTTGATTTCTTCACTAAATCAAGACGTTGTTGCTTGGATCTTGTCAAGGCTATAGAACTTGTGTTCTTGGAAGTTCCTAGAATTTTCACCTTGAATTTTTCCATATCTTTTATTTTCTGCACTTCAATTCTAGATGTTCAATTCCTTATTATTATTGCTTCCACGTTTACTTCTCAAATTCTTACTCTAGTATGGATTTCCGATCTTGTTGTTATCAAGTGGTATCAGATGATAGCATCCTAGAAAGCTCGACTATATTGAGGGACAAAGATAAAGCTTTGGAAGCTCCAAGAAGGCCATTTACAAGATCTCAAGCTAAAGAGTTGCAGACTAAGGTTGCTCGACTTCAATGGCAAATAAAGAAGCTTTTAATTATAGAGGACGAGCTCAAGCCCAAATGAGATGAATTGTGCAAGTTTTACAATTATTTGGTGACCGAAATTGAAGTCGATGAGGAGGAAGATTGGGTCCCGAACTCAGCCCTTAAATCCAGCAAATGGGTACCCAGAAGAGCTCAAAATGAGCTTAAAAGATGTCCAAAAGGGGGTGTTTGAAAACGAGCCCAATTGGAATCCAAACCAATGGCCCAAACTAGTAGTTTTAAGGTCTAAATCTGCCCCAAAGGGATTTGGCCGCACACCCTACCTAATTTTAATGACTTTTCTTATTCCTTAGCAACCACCCTACCTAATTTTAATGACCTTTTATGCCTTAGCAGCCACCCTACCTAATTTTAAGGACTTTTACTCCTACAAATAAGGAGTTCTTCTCATTCATTGAGGACTTCATTATTGATTAAGAATATTATACTTTGAGAGTTCTTTTGAACCTTTGTTACTTATGCTTTGAGATTTATCTTTCAACATTTACTAGTTCTTAGTTCAAGGTAGTAAGATAACTTCTTTATTGTGATATCATTGATTACTTTGTGGTGTTCTTAGAAGGCGATTAATACGAGTTATTAATTATTGTCTCAAGTTATTCGTAAAGGGGTCAAGATCTGAATCTATTATTTTAATTTGTTTTTAAGTAAAGGCGTTTGATTTCGTCAATAAATCAAAACGTTGTTGCTTGGATTTTGTCAAGACTATAGAACTTGCGTTCCTGGAAGGTCTTGGAATTCTTTCCTTGAATTTTTCCATATCCTTTATTTTATGCACTTTGATTCTAGTTGTCCAATTCCTTATTGTCATTGCTTCTGCATTTACTTCTCAAATTCTTACTCTAGTTTGGATCCCCGATCTTGTTGTTATCAAGAAAAATAAAAAAATAGAAAAAAATAAGGAATTGGTTTTCCCATTATTTCCCTTAATCTCTTTTGATCTTCAAACATTTGAGAAGGAGATAAAGGTGCAAGAGTAAATTTCCTGCCATTTAGCTCAAGAAAATATCTATTCTTCCTTCCATCATGAAAAACATTCCTATCATACTGCCAAAGACGACCCAGTAAGATATGACAAGCTTGCATAGGGATTATGTCACAAAGAATATCATACTTTGAGAGTTCTTTTGAACCTTTGTTACTTATACTTTGAGATTTAAATTTCAACCTTTACTTGTTCATAGTTCAAGGTAATAAGATTACTTCTCTATTGTGATATCTTTGATTCCTTTGTGGTATTTTTAGAAGGCGATTAATATTAGTAATTGATTGTTGTCTCAAGTTACTCGTAAAGCGGTCAAGATCCGAATCTATTGTTTTGATTTGTTTTTAAGTGAAGGCATTTGATTTCTTCAATAAATCAAGACGTTGTTGCTTGGATCTTGTCAAGGCTATAGAACTTGTGTTCTTGGAAGCTCGTGGAATTCTTTCCTTGAATTTTCCCATATCCTTTATTTTCTGCACTTTGATTCTAGTTGTTTAATTCCTTATTATTATTACTTCCGCATTTACTTCTCAAATTCTTACTCTAGTTTGGATCCCCGACCTTCTTGTTATCATATATGGTATTGGAGCAGGCTCTTGTTACTGGGGAGATGCTGCCCAAATTTACATAAACGAGCTACTAGTTTAAGTTGCAGACTTAGCCTTTACTCAACACTGATTTTGAATCTCCTTATGCTATGGTAGATTGAGTTGAGTTATTTGAAGAATTGCTTGGAAGGTATTAAGGACTCGATGGAGTTAATGTATGTTAAGGCTATCCATTCTTTTCTTTTGGCATGATCCATATGATACAAACGAAACGTGCAAACGCGGAACTTTCATAAATAACTCTATTCATAGAAGTACTAGGGGTGCCTATGTTCTTGATTCCCCATGTGTCCTATTATTATATCTTCTGTTCATGGGTATCAGAAAAATACATAAGTTGCTAAAGTTTATCCGAAGACATATTGATCTTATGACATTCCGAGAAATCTTACTGACTTACTTCATTATGCATTGCATTCATTTATACATGTACATTGACCCATGACCAGATGGCATTATATACGCGTATATTATAGTATATGAGATATGGAAAAAGGTTATGGCGTTATATACGCACCACCACCTGATCAGCTGGTATACATTGATGATTTCGCCCACAGTGGCTGAGATGATATGATGGGATGCCCTCAGAGGCTTGATGATATTCTGTACACATATACCTATGCATGGTATGGCATTTATACGCACATGCATTACATTAAAAAAAATTCATGATTCACATAGCTATTCAGAATTACAAGTTGAGTTCTTTACTCTATGTTTCTTTCATGTCTTTTATATACTACTGTCATGCCTTACATACTCGATACTTTATTTGTAATGATGTCCCTTTTGTATGGGGGCAATACGTTTTATGCCCGCAGGTCCCGATAGACAGGTTGAGAGTCCTCCTAGTAGGCTATCAGCTCAGCGGGAGGTGTTGGTGCACTCCACTTGCTCCGAAGTTGCCTATCTGGTCAGTATGATTTGGACATGTATTAATTGGTATGGCGGAGCCATATCTCGAACTTTATGACATTTATGTACTCGTAGAGGCTTGTAGACATATATCATGTATATCGATACTTGTATGGCCTTGCCGGCCTATGTTTTGAGTATACAATTATTCATGTCGGTCTTATAGGCCCGTATGTCGCATGCATAAGCTTCTATATCATGTTGGGTCATCCCATGTCGAGTATTCTATTATGTTTAATTCTAGTTATCTCTTGACGGTCTTTCCGGTTCATTTACCCATGATAGTATGATAAGAAAGATACGTTATGTTGGTACTCGGTTGAGTTAGGCACCGGGTGCCCGTCGCAGCCCTACGGTTTGGGTCGTGACAGTACGTGTATGATAATATGAGTTGTCTTGAAGACTCTTCGATTAAAAAATACAGTTTGGTTAGATCTTAGATGGTATTAAAAAATTGATATTGATTTGAAACTGTTTGGTATTGATTGAATGATTGTTCAAAAAATTTCTATTTGGTTTAGCCGATAAGCCGCCCGATAATTATTAACCCGATATCAATCCACTCGTTGTCTTATTAGATGCTAGCGGATTACTACATTTATAATCTGATAATTGTTAAGCCGAACCGTTAAGCGTAATTATTCGCCTGATCCGCCCGATAAGAACCCCTAATCAAGGCATGTAATCTAATAGTTCATACACTTTACGTTTGTAAATGTTTACATAAAGGGCAACCCGGTGCTCTAAGCTCCCGCTATATGCGGGGTCCGGGGAAAGGCCGGACCACAAGAGTCTATTATACACAGCCTTACCCTATATTTTTGCAAGAGGTTGTTTCCACGGCTCGAATGAATATTTACATACAATGTCCTATTTGACCAACAAAAAAAAAGACATACAATGTCCTATTACTTTTTTTTTCCCTCCTTTTTTAATCTCATATGTAATGAGAAAAATAAAAATGTATAGAAAGCTAAAGACTTCCTTCTTTTTTCCTCCATGTTGAGAAAGAAAGTCACTTGCGAATCAAGTCCACTTTTTAACCAAATTGTTGACATAAAAATAAACGTGGATCCAGTAATCGTGATTGCTAAATACAGCTCCTTTATTCACTCTACTCCAATATTTTTGAAGACAAAAATGTTTAGAATACTATGGCAACTACAACATTATACATTTATAGCTATAAAATATAGTGTAGCTAAATATATAAATTTTCATGGCAAAACACTTTAGCCACAAAAAAAAAATTCCGTACCATTCATAGCAAGAAGTAGCGTAACTAAAAGTTAGCTACAATCTTTACATGGTTCGTGACTAAGGACTAATACTTACGAAAATTTTCTATGTTGTAATCGTAATGATAAAATATCTTGCCACGGAAAATATACTTATAGCAAGCGATTTTGTTTTTATGCCACGACGATAAAATTTATAGCTATCTTTGTAGCAAAGAATTGATTTGTTTGCCATGAAAATTCAAATTTTGTAGCTATTTTTATAGCTTTGTCTCGTGACAACCGTACTTGTATTTGAGTTCCACAATTCATAGCTACGAATTAAAGTATTTGCCACAAACATTTTCGTATGAAGCTAAAAATCTATTCTTTTTTTCCCATGAAATATATAGAATTATAGCTAAATATATTCGTTTGCTACGAAAGTGAAAATATATAACAATATTTCCGTGGCAATTATAGATACATTTAGCTGTTAATTCAATAATTTTATTGCTATAAATTGAAAAATCTGTCACATAAATTGTTAACAAGAATTTGTGTAATGTAGCTAAGAATATACATTTTTTAGATTCCAAAGTAAGTTACAACTGATACATAATTGTATTTTTAAATTTCAAAACATTTAGAGTACATAATTGATCTCTGACACCAACTATAGTACTAATACTATAGTTGAGACCCATTGCTGCACAATCTTGCTTGAGACCCATTGCTGCACAATCTTCTCCCTTTCTTTCCTGTCATTGTCTTCATCTGCACCTTAGTTTGATCAACATCTATTAGCTTTTCAATTGAGCTCTACTAATTTCACATATTTGCCTGTCAATTTTGATAAAGAAAATCAACGCCAGCTGAATACAAACTGATCAAACATATATTTTTAACATGTACAAATAATCATATATTTTATAGAAAAGTATTACTGATTAACTTCTCATGAAAAATCTTCATATATTTCTCTAATAGTTTAATTAGTGTTATCTTTATGAATATCTCCTTAACATGCTTAATATGACCAATTTTATGAGATAATAAAACTCTCAATAAGCTTAAAAGGAATAGCAAAATTCCAAATATTTCAAAAGACAATTTAATCTTTTGCCCTAAAATTTTCTTTCAACAGAATCACAATGAAGAAACAAATATGTAAACCTACATTATTATTACATGGAAAAATTATAGATCCACAACAAAAAAACCTACCCACATTAACATGAACAATAACATACCTAAGTAATAAATATTAACATGAACAACAACATACCTAAGCAATAGTCAGAGCGTTCATTCAAGTCAATCGAATATTTAGTATGCGTTCTTTGAAATAGGCTGCATAAGCACAATAGCCTGTGAATCAACCACAACTAGCAAAAATACATTTATTAGCTTCACCAATTTTTGACAACCATGAACGAGAAAAGGCACAAATCACACGTGCATTTTTGATTGAACTCAACAAATAAAAAACCCCAAAATATAAAAATAAAAAAATCTCATTCAAAGAGAGAACCAACATATATTACAATTAATTGCTTAATTAGATTCCAACATAGTCAACTACTGATTTATTATAATTAACTAGTATTATTGTTTCACACAAATTAAGACAATTCAAATCGAAATAAAGGGGAAAAAAGACAAATAAAAGAATAGAAAAGGATCCTGGGAAGCAAGAAATTACCTTAATAAGGTTGATAAAGAAAAAGACAAAAGGAGATGGAGTAGGGAAGTGTGGCGGCTGGAGCTAGAAAAAGAAGGGCTAGGTTTTGGGGCTTTTTAGTTGACCAATTGGCTTCCGATTCTAATTGTTTCATATCCTTTATATTCTTTTACTTTTTAAAATTTCTATGTACAAATACCAATAATAAATATAAATAAATGTAAACAACTATGGTTTAGAACATTATTTTAAAAACAAAAAAAATATGTAATTAACATTAAACATAATAAAATAAATTAATTATTCCCATGAAAAAATAATATTCCAAAATATATTTTCAAGTATCATATAGTCCAATATATAAAAAGAAAATATCAAAAAGAAATTAAAATATTTAGCAACAAAGATTAAGTCTACTAGTTTAGTGATGACTATAATTGCATAGTTATTTAAAATATAACTATAACTCACATGTAGTAATACTTTTTTGATATTGAATTATGATATTGTTATTTTTGGCATATGCTCATATTTAAATTGTATGAAATTGTTAATTTTTAATATTTAATTAGATTTATTATAAATATTAAGTCATTAAAATTGTAATGGATTACAACATTAATAGCTTTTATGCTTATTTATATTGAATATAATTAGTTATCAATATAATTACATACAAGAACATATTTGTTTAAATGTGAGATAATTAAATACTTAAGTCTAAGTAGATCACATAGTTAGTTAAATTATATTAAAAGTTAAAATTAATAATTTACTTAATATAAAATATAATATACTAGTTAGTTGAGTCATATACTTTAATATCAAACATATTAAATTCTTATTTTTTAAATAAAACTTTATAGTCACAAGAGAGATGAAACATGATCTAGTATGAGAACCATATTAAACTCTCAATTGTTTCGATAGATAATGAGTTTTATGATAATTAATAAATTATTAGATTAGTAAAGGACTAAATTTATATGACTTTTTTTTATCATCTTGATTATATATACAATGTAATGGATACGAGTTTATAGTTGTATAAATTCTATATAATTAGTTATTTACACATGAATTAGATATATTCAATTGTGTTCTTTATAAATATAATTCAAACCTATGAGTAATACTTATTTTGTAAGAATAGCAATATAGTTATTTTTGTTATCGACTTAAGTATTAACCATGTTATAATATTAAGTTTATATATAATCGGAAAACTTAGTTTTTGAAAGACTATTATGAATATTAGTACTTATTTCAAAAATAAGTGCTTAGATATATGAAATTGCTTTAAGTACTTATTTAAAATAATTAAGTACCATGCATACATATCTCTACAAACTATTAAAGTCTTCTATATGAGTACTTATTTTAAAATAAGTGCTTAAATATAATAAATTATGCTAAATTCTTATTTAAAATAATAAAGGACCAAATATACATAAAATAAAGTATGAGCTTAATAAGTCAAGAAGTTAGTTGATAAGTATTGATGCCATAAGTAAGTGTACACATGATCTATTATTGATTTTTTTTTTTGCATTTTAATCTTTGTTATTCGAGAATTAATAAAATTTTCAATTATATGCACTTACTTATAACTTTTCTACATTGTAGGAAAAATCTAACTTTTTATATTTAAAATTTATTTTCATAAAACTTCTCTAATTTTTGGACAAACTCTTATATTGATTTTGTAATCAAAGCAAAAATATTTATTTAACTATGAATTTTTTTAACAGCTAATTTATTATGGTAAATAATATTGGTATGGTAACTTCAAGCGCATGACAAAATTTATGTAACTAACTACGGAAGTTTATTGTCTCTCTTGACTGTCGTGGTTATATCATTTTATCATAACAAATAATTGTAGCTATTAAGCCAATGACGTTCTAGGTTTCTTATAACTTGAATTTTAAAATAGTTTTTATATTCAATATTTATTTCAAATCATTATTGTGGCTAACATGTTATAGTTGGAGTAACTTCAAACATGTTATATCAGAATAAGTTTGTAGCTATTAAGTTAGTTTTTGCCATAATTTTTTATAATTGAAGCAAAAATACATATTCAGCTACAACATTTTGTCTCTAGTAATATTTTGTGGCTAAAAGATTAATATTGCTACAGTAATTTCAGACGTGTGGCAAAAACTCACAATTAGCTACAAAATATCATTGCAGCAATAATTTATAGCTTTTAATCTAGTTATTGCCACATGCTTTTATAACTTGAGGCAAAAGTATCTATTTAGCTATAACATTTTGTTAGAAATAATTTTCTCTGGCTATAATTTATAAAGCTGCTATTGCTACAGTAACTTCAAATGCGTGGCAAAAAAAAAAATGATTAGCTACAAATTTTTATTGTAGCAATAAATTTGTAGCTATTTGGATAATTATTGCCACGACAGTTAGAAAATATAGCAAAAATGATAAATTAGCTTTGTCAATTTAATTTTGTAGCTTAAATTTTTTATGAAATTGTAAATAGCCACGGAATTTTAATTTTTGTGGCTATTGTTAGGTATTAGCCATGATTTTCATACATGTAGCTAAGAATTTGTAGCTATAGTTTTAACCAGAATGCTGGTAAAAGGCCTCCTATTCATAGATTTGTCACAGATAGAAATATTTGGCTAAGTCGAAGAAAATTAGTCCTATTCAAATAAAAATGAACACTAATTACTCTCACGAGTACCATGAAAATAGTAAATTGGAGAAAATTTATGTATATTTTGAAAATAATAGCATAGAAGATAAGCGGTAAGACCCTCTGGAATTAACTAATGATCAACGATTAACCCATAGAGAGGGAATAAAAAATTTATGGACTTTTTTCAAAATAATAAAAAAAAAAAGTATAAAAATGATACGAATAAATGAAAATGCATGAGGTATTGGCCTAATAATAGTCCAAAGTTAACTAATAGGATTGATAAAGACAATATCATCACATAGAAAAGAGTTAGAATGTATTAGCAAACTCAAACAGAATCATTGGACCACTTCAACAAGGGAAAGAATATCAGACAATATTTTCATGTTCATATTTTCGCAAGATATAGCAGTTAAGAATTAGTTTTTTGATTTGATTTGAGACTTAAATCCAAATTATAAGGACTTAATAGGGTCATGAGGAGATATATTAGAGTTTCGGGGACAGTATTGCAATATCCTGGTAATCCTTGTTTATGCCAAATTGCCATGTGCGTCTACGGCACCGAGATATTTCTCGGCAAGTGTTATGCTCTTATAGGTGGGTCCCTCCAAAAGATGCTTCTGAAGAATACATTTATTGTTATTTTTTATGAGGAATTTAATTTTAGATTCATTTACAAAATCTAACATTAATTTTAACGCATAGAAAACAAATATGAACATCATAGTCAAAAGTATTTTTTTTATATTATTATTATAGAAAAACGACATCACATCTGAATCTATAACTCGAACTTTATATTGTGTGAAAAATTTATAAGTGTTATGAAAATATTATATTATGGATATCCATTCATTACTCCGCTATAGATAATCTTCCTTAAAAAGATTATCCATTTAGTACTATGTTGATGTTTATCTACAAGCAGCTGATTCGGGCAGGTTGCAAGCAACTCAATGAAATGATTTGCAGCAGCTTCTTATTAAACATGCAGGTTGCAAGCAGCTCATGCAGACAGCTTACAAGCAGCTAATGCAGGCAGGTTGCAAGCAACTCAATGAAATGATTTGCAGCAGCTTCTTATTAAACAAGTAGGTTGCAAGCAGCTCATGCAGACAACTTACAAGCAGCTAAAGAAAAGTCTTGCAGTTACTTCTTAAAAAGTCTCGCAACTGCTTCCTTTCTTCTATAAATAGAGGAGTTTTCAGTTCAGTATGAATATAACTCTGAAAGTTGAATAAAATATCAATCTCCCTCTATACTTGTCTTCAGCTTATTTCTTTTATAGTCTTTATTTTATAACACGTTATCAGCACGAGACTCTGCCATTTTGAGCACTTACATCGAATTTAATTTCTATTTCAGTGTTCATCTCCGATGTAAGGCGATACTTTTATGTACGTGGTCAGATCTTGTTCATTCTGAGCATCATAAGGCAGATTATATCCTTGAGGTGGTGAGTTTTTCTTCTTGGCAGTAGTGATGTAGATATCACTTACATATAGAGTGGCCAAATTTGCGTAATTTAATTTGAGCCTTTTGCTTATATTTTAATATCTTTATCATCGCTTTGCTTGGTTATATGTTACGTATACAGTGCCTATTTTGGTATTTGTTTTCATCCTTATTATCTTAATAAAGGATTACAAAGTAGATAACATTGTTAGATCCACTTAAACTCCAGCAGAGTTTGCAAGAAATATACAACCACCAGAAGTGGTTATATTTCATATATCTCATTGTAACTAAATTTTGTTAACCACCAGAAGTGGTATATGCCTATGACCACCAGAAGTGATAATTTAGGCTTTCTATGGTTACAATTAAAGATAAGCTAGAGAAATATTCTCTATATTACATGCACACCTCGATTTGCTCCTGAAGTAGTAAATATTTTAAAAGAGGTTGAAGCATCACAATTTGATGTGATTAATGCGCGTTCAGATAATTATGTTCGATTTCCTGAAGGATGAGAATTTTTGATAAATATTAATCTATTCTCTGAAGTGAATAAGATAATATTAATAAAGTCGTAAATATGAACGCGCTCTTATTGTAAATATATTACAATTCACCTCCAGAAGAGTTAATATGATTGAGAGAATGTATACTCAATATTTCGTATTTTAAATTTGCTCCTGAAGAAGTGACACAATTGAAATTCCTCCTGAAGTAGGAAAATATTATGAAGAGAGGTGTATTCTTGTTCTTAAACAATTATTTTATATTGTTTATTTGATTATGATTTTCTCTCATGATACCAGAAGTGTCTGAGCAATATTTGATAGTACAAAATATAACAACAACTCCTGAAGAGCTAACTGTTTGTCTAGAAGACACATAACACCAGTAGTGTTTGATAAATATTAGACTGTGGATAATAAATGAAGGCTCTCGAAGAGCTTATATACAAATATGTCATTCATATTATATGATTATGGTCAAAACATATGTTGTAGTAAA